CCACAACACGTAGGAGAAATCCAGACAATACAACTCCCTCCTGCACATCTGTATAGATAAGCATTTCGGCGCAAAGCAGAATAAGCACAGAAAGCAATGCAGTAGCAATTAACCAGACACAGACTGAGCTCCCCAACCCCCATGGCAGCGTAGCTGACACCATCATATACTGGCAATGTTGGTTGTTAAGAGTACATATTGAACTCAACACATATCAGCTTTAAGCAGTCCATCAGAACTGATGCACCTGGTCAGTATAGTACTTCTCCACATGATGATGTACTTTTTCTCAAGGTGTCCTTGTTTTTGATAACAATTATTAAATATGTCTTGTCTCTAAGCCATCACATCTGTCTCCACTCAAAAATGTAATAACTTGTTTTGAGGATACCAGAACCGTCCCAGACAAAAAGAGAGCTAGTGGCAATATCTATAATGACAAGAACTGTGGAAAGCAGATGTCATGGCAAAACATGAGTAATGGAACAGAGCCGCATTGTGTTAAAGAGCTGAGATGGTGACAATCATTTCATTTGTGACATGGCAAGTTCTTCCTATTTTGAATAACACTTCCTTCCTGCTGCTGCCTTCAGTTCCTGTTCCTGATCCAGGGAGTGTCTGAAATAACCATTGTCAAGAATGGGATCCATTTTCTTGCTTTAGCAGGCCACGAATCATTCTGTACCCCAAACAGACTGATGCCAATTCCATAATCTTCAGACTTTTTAGTAACTCTTTCCCAGAAGACACTGGAATGCTGGAGGAAAACACAGAATAGTGATACATATCAACGGCCTTCCTAGTAATGATAAAGTAAGTGTGTGTGTGTGTGTGTGTGTTGGAGACGGAGAGGGAGAGGGAGAGAGAGAGAGAGTATAATGCTGTCAAATTACTTGCAGAAACCCAATGAATTAATGACTTCCAAAACATCCTATTGTTAACAGCCTTGCTAAGATCTTGCAAACTGAGGGCCCTGGCTTCCTTGATTGAGTCAATCTGTCTCATGCTGGATCTTCCGACCTTCAACTTTTCCTAGCATTATGCTTTTTCCCCAGTGAGTCTGGTCACCTCAGAAGAATGCAAGTCTTCTTCACTGAACACTGCACCAGTGTCTGCACTTGCAAATACCACATTCATTTTCTAAGTCTTCCTCCTCAGCATTCTTTTTTTTTAAAGTATGTGTTCTGTGTAATGCCAGTAAAAAGCATGATCAAAGGGAAAGAGAAATGCTAAGGAATGAGAAACCTGAAAGATCAGGTTTCTAGCTTAGGGACTGATCCTGGACCTCAGTGTTTGGTGTTGGGAGGAACCCAGTATACCCCACCTCAAGCTTCTTCATGTAAAACAAGCAGGATAAAAGCAGAACAATAGAGAGTCAGTTATTCAAAGCTCTTTATCATCTTAGCAACTCCATCCTCCACTCCCTATGAATGATACCCTGACCAAGTTAGTTCTATATATATTTAACTATGTAGGTTTATGGGAAAACATAGCTCTGCTTCCCAAGACATTTAAAAATCTTGCTCTCCAAGGGTGACTGAATAATAACAGTTCAACGGCTTGCATTGGCTTACATAAAACTTCCACTGAGGTCTCCCTAGAAAGCAACAATATTACTCCCAAGTGTAAGTGATCAACAATGAAGGACTGAACATGTGAGTTTTCTTTAACACTTTGAAGTACTTTTTTAATCTTACTTGTTTCCAAGATAAACCTCATTTTGATAGTATTTAATATGAAGTGTTTGCAAAATTACAGCATATCATTATGCTGGAACTCATTACAATAATTTCTAAACATCCAATTTTCCAAAACTATATTGGTATAAAATTTATGGCTTTTTTGTTACATCATTTTATGAGATAGTTAGGTCATCTGGAGGCCATGAGACATTTGCTAAGCTATGAATTTCAAAACACAAATTAATACTAAACAAAATGTCATAAAACTGCATAAAAGATAACTATTTAAATCAGTTTATCAGAGAATGAGTCTGCACAGATGAGCCTTGCTTTATATTATCACATACATAGCAAATTATCCAAAAACTATTATTGCGGTCCTTAGAGAATCTCAAGTGTATATTTAACAAAAGAGATATATTTTGTGTTGGCATTCATGCAACTGTTGAATCTAGAAACGACAAATGAAAATTATCACAGTAATAAATCCTAAAGGAATCCTTGTATCTTCTATTATATGTTTGTCTTTTCCAAAATAAATGTTAGGAATTGTACTCTTATGGATCAAAAACTGGCTAATTAATAGGAAACAGAGAGTGAGTATAAATGGGCAATTTTCTCAGTTGAGGGTGGTAAGCAGTGGGGTACCACAGGGATCAGTACTCGGTCCGATGTTTTTTAACTTGTTTATTAATGATTTGGAGTTTGGACTAAGCAGTGAAGTGGCTAAATTTGCAGATGACACAAAGTTGTTCAGGGTGGTGAGAACCAGGGGGGATTGTGAGGCCCTCCAAAGGGATCTGTTGAGGATGGCTGAGTGGCCATCAACATAGCAAATGGAGTTCAATGTGGCCAAGTGCAAAGTGATGCACATTGGAGCCAAAAATCCTAAATACAAATACACATTGATGGGGTCCGAACTGGGAAAGACTGACTAAGAGAGAGATCTTGGAGTCATAGCAGATAACTCAATGAAAATGTATACACAGTGTGCAACTGCAAGAAGAAGAAGAAGAGGAGGAGGAGGAGGAGATTGGATTTATACCCCGCCCTTTACAAACCAAAGGTGTCTCAGAGCGGCTTACAAACTCCTTTCCCTTCCCCTCCCCACAACAGACACCCTGTGAGGTAGGTGGGGCTGAGAGAGCTCTGACAGAAACTGCTCTTTTTCAAGAACAGCTCTTATCAGAACTACGGCTTGCCCAAGGTCATCCAGCCAGGTGCAAGTGGAGGAGTGGGGAATCAAACCCGGTTCTCCCAGATTAGAGTCCGCGCACTTAACCACTACACCAAACTGGCTCTATGGAATTTAAGAAAGCCAACACTATGCTGGGGATTATTAGGAAGGGAATTGAAAACAAATCAGCCAGTATCATAATGCCCGCGTATATAACAATGGTGCAACCTCATTTGGAATACTGTGTACAGTTCTGGTCACCTCAAAAAGGATATGATAGCATTGGAAAAAGTTCAGAAAATGGCAACTAGAATGATAAACGGGTTGGAACACTTTCCCTATGAAGAAAGGTTAAAACGCTTGGGGCACTTTAGCTTGGAGAAATGACGGCTGAGGGGTGACATGACTGACGTTTATAACATTATGCATGGGACCTAGGAAGTTGAGAAAGAAGTACTTTTCTCCCTTTCTCACAATACAAGAACTCGTGGGCACTCAATGAAATTGCTGAGCAGTCAGGTTAAAACAGATAAAAGGAATTTACTGCAATAGGAGGTTGTGGTGGCTACAAGCATGGACAGCTTCAAGAGGGAATTAGATAAACATAATGGAGCAGAAGTCCAAAAGGGGCTATTAGCCACAAGGTATAGATAGGAACTCACAGGCTGGGGCAGGTGATGAACTACATTCTTGGTGCTTGGGGGGGGGACAGTGGGAGGGCTTCTAGTGTCCTGGCCCCACTGCTGGACCTCCTGATGCAACCTGGTATTTTTGGCCACTGTGTGACAGAGTGTTGGACTGGATGGGCCATTGGCCTGATCCAACATTGGCTTCTCTTATGTTCTTATGTACCATTCTTGCTAATTGGTTGGGATATGTTCTATGTGTAATTCTCATTTGCATTTTTTTCCTCTTGGAAGTGCTCCACAGTATTTCAGTTATTACAGGAAAATCTGATGTATATATCTATGACAAGCAAAATCAGAGATTGCATTGTTAGGGTATGTGCATTTGAAAATGTTCATAAAATGTATTCCTTTGCACAAAACATTATTTTTTACATTTGCTCCAGGCACTCCCCCAATGAACATGAGACAACAGTATTGAGTTTAAGTAGTTTATTTAAATAATCAAGTATGCAGATTTACACAATATAATTAAAATGCTAACATATTTAAATGGGTGGGCTGTGCCAGGCTGCCTTTTTTGGACAGGCTTACCCTGACTTCAAAATCTGCCTGCATCTTCTGCTGGCCTCAGTTATCATCACCTGCACACAATATAGAAAGAGGTACCCAGGAGGGATGGGCACAAACTGCATTTTTGCAGTTCAGTTCAGTTCATGGTTCATGGCTGAACCACAAACCGAACCATGAACCTATATATACTGGAAGGTTGGTTTGTGACCCAAATCAGTTCATATAGGTTCATGACCCCTGCTTTCTGCTCCCTGCCACTTTCAGGTTGGTTTCCCACCTTTGACAATTTTGTAAGTTCATTTTATTAATAAGTAACTGATCTTTAGTACCTCAAGATTTTAAGAAAATTCAAGGGACTTCCAGGTTGCAGCGCGGTATGACGGAAATGGCTGAGGATCGCTCCCCAGCCCCTCCAGCTTCTCCGCACAAAAAAGGGGTTTTAAACCCCTCTGGTCCATTGGAAAGAAGGTCCAGGGCAAGGGGCTCTACCAGACTACTGTGTCCCACAGCGGCAGGTGCCGTTTTTGGTTCAGTTTGCCCACAGCACTCTGCAGAAGAAGAGACGTGGTAGTGTCTGAACTGTCACTTCCAGAGTAAGGGGGGGGGGGTTAGAAACCGAGTCAACATGATGCTATTTTAACGGACTGTGAGTAGCCAACACTTTACAGGAAAGAAAGTTTTTTTTTTCTTTTCTTTTGTTCCTCTTTAATGTTTGCCTGACAATCTTTAAGGTTTGGTTTGTTGGTGGGAGGCTCCCCCCCCAGTTATGGTTTCGCGGTATGTTTGAGCTTAGCCAATTTGAAGCAAGACTGAACTCCGGCAATAAGGGCTAGATCGAGCACTTACTGACTTTGTTTAGCTGAAATACAGTATAATTAAGAATCTTTTTTCTTTTTTTCTTTTTTCTTTGTTTGTTGAGAGAACTGATATTCTGTAATTCTATTAAGTACTTGCTTCCTCTGATTGGGTCTGCACCTGAAGAGAAATGACACCATTGATTTTCAATGTACTCAATTTTTTTCTCTCTTGGTTTTTCTCAGCTTTCAACATCACTAATTTCCTACCTTATTAATTTACACAAGTATGGAGTGAGAGTTTGCAATGTACCCAATTTTTCTCTGAAGCCTTCTTCTTACAATCAGAAAATAACTGCTTCAAAAAACACTCAACACAATACATGTTAGATCGCGCTAACAAAGGACTCGTACAGTGATTCAGCAAGTGATTCAGCTTTATTGGAAGTAACGAGCAAGCACTAACTCAGTAAGAAACCAGAACAGAAAACAGTGGGAGCTTATGCTCCTTTTAAACATAACCGGGCTAATGTAGCCACGCCTATTTACAAATAACAACCAATGAGATTGCTAGAATAAAGACCAATGGGAGTCTTTCCCTCCTAGGGAATGGTATCGTTCTGATTGGTCGCTGTTACGAAGCGACCAATAGGAAGTTCGCTCAGAGGAGCCCTGGTCTGGCTCGAAGCTTAACATGGGAGTCCTATGAGGTGATTCATGTAATCATCCCAAGACATTACAATTCCTCCCCCCTAAGTTAAGCCATCATCCCATTTGTTTTATTATTTACATACATACATACACCCTTTGTACATCAGTTATTCCAACAGTATTTACACTCATAGTCCTTCAGATAAGTCGGCATTTGCCGCGAACGCTGGGACCTGCGGAGCGGTGCAGGCTCCACGGGCAGACAAGGTTGTGGGTCAGAGTGGGGTCCACTACAGCCTGGATCAGGCACAGACTCGACTGGGATTTCAGCCCCGCACACAGGGTTCTGCCCTGACTCGGGGACAGTACCGGGCCTTTCGGTACTCACCGCCTGCTCTGGGGGTGTCCACTCGACATCAGGGGATTCAGCCGTCGGAGAGTCAGCGCTGTCCCTAGCCCAACGTCTCCTTAACTGATCTATGTGGCGCCGCCATATTCGACCGTCAGCTAACTGCACCACATACATTCGAGTACCCACAGAGTCGGATATAACCCCAGGAAGCCACAAGTGCCCGTTTGCATAATTTCGTGCGAAAACCTTGTCCCCTTTTTCAAACATGCGCACCTTCGGTTGCGCAGTGGTACGCTCGGACTGATCTTCTGATAGGTCTGGGTGCATACGGTTCAAACGGGTCGTGAGTCTCCGCCCCATTAACAATTCGGCCGGACTACGGCCTGTAGCACTACAGGGGGTGGTGTGCTGCAGCAAAAGAAAGGAGCCCAGCCTCTGGCTCCAGTCCCCTTCGTCCATTTTACCCAGGGCCTCTTTGGCCGTCCTGACCATCCGTTCGGCTTGGCCATTAGATGCCGGATGGAAAGGGGCCGAAGTCATTTGGCGTATGCCATTACTCGTGAGGAAGAGCCTAAATTCCTCAGACACAAATTGAGGCCCGTTGTCACTGACGATGACGTCAGGCAACCCGTGGGTGGCAAAAAGTCGGCGGAGCGCATGGATCACAGCAAGTGATGTGGTCGATTTCATATGCACGACCTCCAGCCATTTGGACATAGCGTCCACCACAATTAGGAACATTTGCCCTTGGAGAGGGCCAGCAAAATCTATATGCAATCTGGCCCAGGGTTTACCAGATGACTCCCAGCCTTGGGGTGTAGCTTGTGGGGGATCGGGTCTGACTTGCTGGCATTTGGGACACCCTCGTACCCATTCTTCGATCTCTTTGTCCAGCCCCGGCCACCAGACATACCCTCTGGCCAACGCTTTGGTGTGTACCATACCGGGGTGACCCTCGTGCAGCGACTCTAACACTCTCGTCCTGAGTTTGTCAGGAACCACCACCCTGTTCCCCCATAATACACAGCCCTTAGAAATGGATAGTTCATTTTGACGGCTTTTGTAAGGGCCGAACTCCGGTTCAACGCTTCCAACCGGCCACCCCCTCCAAACCCAGTTTAATACTCGGGACAGCACGCTATCCTTGGCCGTGTGTGCTGCAATGTCCCTGGATGATACCGGGGGTCGAGGAAGCTCCTCAATTGCCAAGACCTCACAGGCGGGGGCAGGGTCTGCGCCAATGTCCGGCACCGGGCACCGGCTGAGGGCATCCGCATGCCCAATCGCTTTCCCAGGCCGGTGCTCTAAGTCAAAATCATAAGCCTGCAAAAATATCGCCCATCTAAGCATGCGTGGGGACATGATGTTTGGCAATTGCTTATCGGGCGCAAAAATCCCCAGTAGCGGCTTGTGGTCAGTGACCAGCAAAAATCGTCTGCCAAAAATAAAATCATGGAACTTTTTGACAGCCGCTACCAACGCCAGACCCTCCTTGTCTATCTGGGCATAGTTCCGCTCTGCCGCAGATAGTGATCTAGAATAAAAAGCGATAGGCGCTTCGCTCCCATCAGGCATCAGATGGCTTAAAACTGCGCCTACTCCAAACGGTGAAGCGTCAGCAGCTAACACCAGGAGCTTGTGTTCATCATAATGCGTGAGTACGGCATTAGATGTCAGCAGCTCCTTGACTCCCACAAAAGCCTTTTCCTCGGCCTGCCCCCACTTCCATTTTGCCTCCTTGTGCAAAAGCGCGTGCAAAGGGGCCGCCACTGATGCCTTATGCGGTAAAAACGCATGATAAAAATTCAGGAGTCCTAAAAAGGATTGGAGCTCCTTCTTACTCACCGGCCTGGGGGCGTTTTGGATTGCAGATACCTTCTCATCCGTGGGGTGGACTCCCTCTGCGTCAATGCGAAACCCCAGGAAGTCCACACTTTCCACCCCGAGCGTGCATTTTGAGCGCTTAACTCTGAGGCCGGCATTTTGAAAACGCCTGAGGACCTCTTTAACCCGGTCCAGTAGTTCCTGTTCAGACCCGCCCGCAATCAGCACGTCGTCAAAATAGGGCACTGTGCCAGGTACCCCCCTTAGTAGACGTTCCATGAGGCCCTGAAAAATCCCAGGTGCTACGTTGACCCCGAATTGCAGCCTGTTCACTTTAAAAGCCCCTTGGTGGGTTACAATTGTTTGGGCCTCGGCAGCCTCCGGGGTGACAGGCAACTGCTGGTATGCCTGGGCCAGGTCAAATTTGGCGAAAATCTTGCCACCCCCCAGGGAAGCCAAAATGTGGCTTATTACCGGGACCGGGTACGAATGTTGCTGCAGCGCCTTGTTAATCGTACATTTGTAATCGGCGCATAGTCGTATGGACCCATCTGATTTGACAGGGGTTACGATCGGGGTCTCCCATTTGCTGTATGGTACTGGCTCTAAAACCCCTTGCTCAACTAGTTTGTCAATCTCTTTTTCCACCTTATGTTTGAGAGACACAGGTACTTTCCGATACTTCAACCTAATAGGTTTGACTGACGGATCTAAGTCAAACGCAACCGGGGGGCCCTTGTACCTTCCCAACCCTTCGGCAAATACATCAGGGAACAGGTCGTACAGCATGCCCCATTTATTTTCAGACATCCTGTTAATCCCAGAAATACCGATGCCCAATGGCTCAAACCAATCTAACCCTAGCAGGTTAACCCGGTCTCCCTCTGCAATCAGGAATGACAGTTTAACACATTTCCCCTTATACTCAACAGTAACAGAGTCCCGTCCGGCCAAGGGAATTCGGTTGCCCTGGAAGTCGGACACTCTGGTTCCCGCAGGCTGGAGCCGCCGCCGGCTTCGGTTCGGGAACAACTGGCGCCAGGACGCGGCAGAAATCACCGTCACGGACGATCCTGAGTCCACCTCCATTGTACAGGGTCGGCCGTCGAGGAGTGGAGTCACGGTGATCTTGCCCTGGCTGCTGGTGCGATTTACGGCCGATGCGCTCGACAAGGTCGCCGTCAACTGGCAGCTTGCTTCCGATGCTGAGGAACGGGTCTTGCCTTGGGTGCTGACTGGAGTGCCCCTCTGCGCTGACCGGTTGTTAGTTGAGGGATCCTTCTTCGCTGATCTGCAGACTCTGGCCAGATGACCACGCCGCCCACACGCTCTGCAGTCGACATCACGAGCCCAACAGGAGCCGCGCTGGTGCTTCCCGCCACAACCGGAGCAAGGCTTGACGTTGGTAGTCTTCGCTGGGGTCCGCTTGCCTCGAACCGCGTTGACGTCATCATCCGCGTCTTCGCCCTCGCTGTCTCGTTGAGCGTGTATACTGGGCTCTGCCACCCGCTGGCGGACCTCCTTCGTGGACTTCTCCGCTGCTTCCGCGGCCACGGCCTCTTCGTAGGCCACTGCCCAGGTCAGGGTGGTGCGGGCGAACAGCCTCTGTTGCAGCCTTTCATCTTTGAGACCGCAGACGAGACGGTCTCTGAGGGCTTCCTCCACGTTGTGGAAATTACATGGCCGTGCGGCTTTGCGAAGGGCCGCCACGAAATCTGCGATGGTCTCGCCTCCGGCCTGGTTCCGCTTGTAAAAAGCGTGCCGGCAGGCGATCTCCGACGGTTGTGGAGAATAGTGAGCCTTAAGCTTCTCCGTGATGTCAGCGTAGGTGACAGTCTTTATATCAGTTGGGGCCACCAACGACCTGGCTATGTCGAAGGTCCCCTTCCCGCAGGAACTCAGGAGGCATGCTCGTTTCTTCGCCTCATCGGTGATGTCGTGGGTCTCCAGATGGAACTCGAACCTGGACAGGTAGGAGTCCCAGTCTTCTGAGGAGGGTTCGAAGCACTCGAACTTCTGGCTTCCAGCCATCGGGGGAGACTTGGGCACCGGAGCTGGTGGCGCCTCCGCCGGATCGGCTGCTGTGCTCTGCCCGCTTTCTTCCGAGTCCGAAGTGTGGATGTCCGCAGGGCTGCCTACCTGCTCTAACATCCCACCCTCGTCGCCAATTGTTAGATCGCGCTAACAAAGGACTCGTACAGTGATTCAGCAAGTGATTCAGCTTTATTGGAAGTAACGAGCAAGCACTAACTCAGTAAGAAACCAGAACAGAAAACAGTGGGAGCTTATGCTCCTTTTAAACATAACCGGGCTAATGTAGCCACGCCTATTTACAAATAACAACCAATGAGATTGCTAGAATAAAGACCAATGGGAGTCTTTCCCTCCTAGGGAATGGTATCGTTCTGATTGGTCGCTGTTACGAAGCGACCAATAGGAAGTTCGCTCAGAGGAGCCCTGGTCTGGCTCGAAGCTTAACATGGGAGTCCTATGAGGTGATTCATGTAATCATCCCAAGACATTACAATACACTCTCTCTGATCACACTCCTGCTGCATGCAACTCTCATGGAGACTGAACAAAGCTTAAAGCTCAGCAGCCTTCACATGTGTGACCACCCTTTTCAGCAGCCAGCAGGAAAGCCTACACAAAAGATGCATGGCCGCAATATAAGTGGCAAAATTCCACTTCCCAATTGGCTGCTTCAGATATGGCTACCCAATTAAGCCTCATGCCTTCCTTGTCTCCAATGGTGGCTAAGGCAAGCCAATCCCTGGCATTCATGCGTGGAATTCCACTTGTTGGGTCAGGAAATGACAGATACAAATAGCTGCAGAAAGGCCTAAATATGATTAAATTTTACAGTATGTTAAACTGAATTATCAAAAGAATGTGGTAAATTCAAAATAATGTGGTAAATTGCTACCACTTTATGTATTGTTTTTAGACTTAATTTATTGTAATTTTAATTGAGAAGTTGTTTTACCAGTAATAATGATGTGAGCTGCCCTGAACCTGCTGTGGCAGGGAGGATGGGCACCTACACACATGACAGAATGAGGTGGCAGAGAGCTGAGGTGGTAGAATTGACTGTACTGTTTCAGATGGCAGGCAAGAGAGACATTTTTCAAAGTTCTCCCGCATAATTACTTTCTGTTACTGGAAAGCTAGCACAACATGAAAAAGTCTAGACAAGAAACTTTCTGCTACTTTTGTCAGCCTCCCTTTTGAGTTTCTGGTTCAGAACCTGTTTGTACTTCATTAAAAAGTTGAGTTTGCCTCGACTGTTCCCAAGTTACATCACTGTTCCCTGCAGTAAACAAGATTCAAGGTATTAACTGGGCCCCATTCTGGGCGTCCTGAGTTTAGGAAAATGACCACCAGGGACAGAATAAGTTTTGTATTCCAATTAAGGAATCTTCTCCCCCAGCAACTCACCTGACAGTTACTCTCCATCTTTTTTAGGTGCCAGGTCTAAAGTCTTATTTTAATAAGGTGTAGGTAGAATATTGCATTGCTTAACTGCCTTTAGTTGCTATCTGTTTTGCTGCTATTCTTTCTGTTTGTGCTTTTCTATTAAGCCTAGCTTTCCTAAATCAGATTTTGATGTTTCTTGTACTTTTTTAACATATGTATGCAAATTACCTTAAAGACCAATTGGTAGAACAGCAGGATATAAATTTTGAAATATACTGGGTTCAACACACAAGTAGTGATCAGCTCATAATTTATTGTGCGTAACTCAAACTAAATACAACCCTATCAGGGCCGCAGCCCTGTTTATATTCCCATCAAACGGCACACCCCAAACACACCTACTCCCAACAATAAGCTATTACACACTCCTCGCGTCCTGATAGGTGATGGCCAGGATCCCAGTGGTCTATTGTATTCTACCCCAAGCTCCCCTTTACTCTGGCTGCCCCGTGTAGCCAGGAACTAAGTATATAACAAATTTTTAAATAAATAAAAAATAAAGATCTGTACAAATTACTTCAAGCTGAGTAGAAGTTAAAGCACCAAGAAAAGACAACTATTTTAAAATCTTCTCATGTCAGAATGTTCTGCTGTGACTCAGTAGGCGCAAAAGTTAGGCAACGTTGGAGGATGCATCAATCTTCTAAATAAAGTTACAAATCAACTTTCATGGCTTTGGAAGACACCAGCATCAGCCTGGAAAGCCACAAGAAGCAAGTGGGCCAGTAATGTCTTGCTGTTTTTGCCTTAGCAATCTGACTGCAAAAAGTTACTTTTGTGCCAATAGGCATCACTAACAACTCACTCAACTTCTCTGCCAATATGGCAATTTGCATCACATTACCCAGAATGCTTCACATTGTGATTTTGCTTTGAAAACAGATTTAATTGAGCCTTGCTGAGCTGCATTAATGTGTCTGTTTAAATTGAGCAAATCTAATTAGCTCGCATGAAAGTTATGCCACCTCTGGTGCTGCAAAGTTAATGCAATTAAAATCTGCTGGTTGTATTGAGCATTGTAAACACAGATTGACTGGTGGAAGAAAGTTCAATAGCCACCAGAGAGTGGCCAGTTTTTCAGGTGTGTTTTTCATGGTATCTAATGCATTCATTACTTTTAGTATCTTGCACTCTAAAGAAGCTGTTCAGATCCCATTTTAAGACAGGTATGGTTACCCAAGAGGGTATTTGTATGTATGATTGTATATACACATGTAGACAGACTCATAAACACCCCCTAGCTTCTTTTTCGATTCTAGTTAGGAGGTTACCCCACTCATAGTTCACAATTCTTATACACGTTTGCAGGGGTGAAAACATTCTGGGCTGAGATTCTTACCAAAATGTATCATATTACAGACTTCAGATCCCAAGGTAGTATTACTAGGACTAGTTAATGCATATAGTCCAAAAATCAGTATAAGGATGATTCTTGACATGACTACAGCTGCAAACTTGCTATTAGCAAAAAACTGGAAAATTAGTAAAATCTCACAATCAAATCTTGAATTCAAAAACTATGGGGTATCAAAAATGCCACAACTAGTTCAACAAAGAGACAGACATATTTTAAAAGTGTTGTTTTTTTCTGATAGCTGGAAATCTGTTTTTGAATTTTGCAGGAAGCAATTAAATATGACAATCTGTACAATTGTGCCCCACTTTTACATTAAATAGAATAATGGGAATGAGTAAATAACCAAGACCGAGTGTTAATTAAGTAATTGCTATATCAGCAAGCTTTAAATTTTGTATTTGTAATATTGTAATTATTGTCTATAATTTTTTGTTCAGGGAGAGTTGTTTCAAAATAAAAAGAGATCTAACACCATTTATGGTTTTCTAATTTTTTTTTTGGCTTTTGAAATTAAAAAAGCCCTTTAAATAAACAAGTTACTCTACTCATAGTTCTCAATTCTCATTTGCCCCCCAAGCCATAATTACGAGGCAGACACAGATGATGGGTTTAACCATTGGGCCACTTTATTAACTGACAACTTTAACTGGAACAAAAATGGCAAGGGCAACACAGTTATGCGGTATGGTCAAGGCCAGGGGTCTAAGACCCCTCCCTTACCTCATGGTATAGGGTGAGCCACACTGCCCCAAGCGGGAGCCATCAGCAGTGGCTCCCACCTGGCTGGCTAGCCATTGCAGGACCACCCCATAGCTCCATCCCCTGAGCTGCTAGGCTCAAAGGGAGGAGCCAGTTGGTCAACTCTTCACCCCATATGTGAACTGCAACCAGGATAGGAAAAAACTCCAAAAAAGTAAGGTCAGACATCAGACCCTCCGCTACCCAGGCCACTGGCCACACCACAGTGCACCAGTTCCTGCGGAAATAAACCCCCAAACCAGATGATCCTGCAGCGTCCGAATGGACCTGAAGCTCTGCCTCTAACTTGAGATCCTCCCTCTAAAATGAAATACCATTGAAAGAAGCAAGAAACCCCAGCCAAGAAACTCCAGCCAAGAAAGAAGCAAGAAACTCCAGGTTGGACCTTCAGTCTTTTCCTGTGCCAAAGGCACACCTAACTCGCTCGCTAAAGTCATAAAAGCACCCAGCAGCTGCTCACATCTTCCTGACCCCAGGGGATCTACAAACAGGAAGTCATCTACGTAATGAGCCACTGTGCTATATCCGGTGCGAGCACAGAGAGCCCACTCCAAAAAGGAGCTGAATCACTCAAAAGCGGCACAAGAAACAGAGCAGCCCGTAGGTAGAGTTCAATCTAAATAGTAATGGCCCTCGAAGCAAAAACCCAGCAGTTCAAAGTCCTCCAGGTGCACTGGGAGGAGGCGAAACACAGACTTAATGTTGCATTTTGCCATCTCTGCTCCCTTACCACAGTGACGCACAATGCAAATGGCCTGATTGAAAGAAGTGTACCTGACAGAACACAAAGCCTTAGGAATGGCATCATTAACTGAACTGCCCTTGGGATAAGAGAGATGGTGGATAAGCCGAAACTCCCCTGGGGCCTTCTTGGGCACAATTCCCAATGGGGACACATGAAGATTAGGAACGGGCAGGAAAGGAAAAGGTCCCAGGACCCTGCCCTCCTTCACCTCCTTCTCAACCTTTTTCCGAACCACGTGCTCCATACCCCATATGGATTGTAAGTTATGGGCCATGAAGGGAGACCTCTCGCCTTGGTAAGGAATGTGAAAACCCTGCGAAAAACCCCTCAACAAATATAACCTATCAGAACTTCGGGGATAACCATGTAACAGCACCTCAAGCACTCTCAACCTTATGGGTGTTGGCCCCCTTTCCATGACCCTGACAAGGTCCACCCCCATCCTGCCTCCAGCGACCCTTACGGGGTTTCCTGTGGAAGCATGTGGAGAAGGGGTGCGGGCCCACACACAAAGGGAACTCATGCCGGAATTGGCATGCCTTACAATTACAGACCCCTTGGGCCCCAAATTCCCAGCAGATCTGGTGGGGTTGAACTGCCTGCCCCGCCTGAAGGTGGGAACTAGTGGGGGTGGCCACATGGTGGACAAGGTGGCCACTGTGGGAGTGATCCCCTGTGTTGGGCCTAGAGGAGGCCATAACCTGTAACCAAAGATGGGGGTGGATCTGATCCCAACGCAGGGACGGGTTCATGGCAGCCCGCATCCTGAACTGATCATACTGAAGCCAGGCGGGGCCAGTGAAGGCTGTATATCCCTTGTAAATTATGTCAAAATATTGAAAAAGGGAAGCTGCTCTGAGGGGCTGAGCTTTAGAAAGCACCCCGGCATATATGAGGAAACCTGCCACCCAGTTGTCCCAAGTTCTATCCACCTTCATCTTCCTATACTTTTCCTTGTCCCTGTCTTCAAGCTCCTCCTTTCCCTTTTTTTCCATGTCTCTGAATAAAAGGGTAAAAACATCCATGTAGTCTCCTCAAACCTAGTGGCGGGGAGAAGGTGGTTGCCCAGTGGTTGCCCAGCATATGTCATACTACAAGGTGATGCCCCCCCACCACGGTGTGCTGGACGAGCTGCACTGTTGTGATAATGCAGCACCACAAACTGATTGTGGGGTGCCTGGCAAAGAGGTGGAGCCATGTGCCAGCCTACACACATGACCACATGCTGTTGCCATCTGAGGGGTAGATACTGAGCAACCCGCCGAGTGCTGGCACCAAGGCCAACTACCTCCGGTGTGGTGAATGCCGCACTTACACGCAATTGCAGAATGGGTCAGCCGGGCGTTGCTGATCTGAAGGCATTGGTGTAGCAGGGGTGCCACTGTCCTGACTTCCAGTGGCTCCGTCCTTATCAGCCCCCGCATTGTGGTTCGCCCTTCGACAAGAGACAAATGGGTCAAAACCTCCGCTTGAAAATGCTTGTTGGTTGCAGAACGCATTACCTTCTGCCCACGCGCTCCACCCACTGGCTTCGCACCTGGGGTAGACACTCCTGTGGTCTGTTCCACTACCAACAAGCGAGTCATGATAGCCTGCTGCACCTCATCCTCATCCTCATCGGAAGAAGACAAAGTAGGAGCAGGTCTTTTGGGAGGAGGCTTGGGGGCTGGCTGCTTGACTTTAGCGTGGCCAGAGCCCTTCTTAGGAGCCATACCCTGAAATGTCAACTCACTACCCCACAAGAATGAGAATATCCCTCATTCAAACACAAGCACTAAACCACCTGCTGTGCAGAAATGCAAAATGGCTGCCAAATAAGATCATGATGGCTGCCTAGAGGAGACAAAATGGCCACCACAGGCTCGCCACAAAATGGCTGCCTCAATCTGCACCCAAAATGGCCACCTTAAGAGATCCTATGCCCAGCCTGCCGGTAATATCCCACCCAGCCCCTGAACATATAAGAGAACAAGGTGGGGGGGGGAGCGCAAGAAGGGGCAGCAAAATACGACCTCAAAATGCCCTGAAGACCTCACAGGCAACCTCCTAAGGGCCCGCACATTGCCGGACTGCTGACCCGGGAACCAACCACCACCCGCACCACCATGAGGTGATGCCCACAACTGCCCCAGCCACTTCAGAGCCTGCTCAGCTGCGCCTGCTGGGTCCTGCTGTCCCGCAGGCCTCCAAACTGTCTCCTGCCGTGAAGCAGGCAGCCGCGCTGGCAAGGGCCACCCAGAACTGCCATCCACCGCAGGTACTCCTCAGATCCTCTGCCACTCTGCGCCTTCAGGCCGTCATTGGAGTTGCTGCCGCACATGCCGCCGCTGAGACACAGCACCGCTAGCCCAGTGCACCATGCCTCCCCACCGCTGATGTCTCACCGTCGGCCCAAGGAGGAGCGTCTGCTATGCAGCCCGCAGGCAAGGTGCCAAACGTCGGTCGTGCCACAGAGCTTCTCACTGCCGAGGACCTCAAAGGACTGCTGTCGAGGATGGGAGGGGCTGGGCTTTTAAGCCCCACATCCCCTCCCTCCTCGACTATCTGTATTAGGCGCTGTTTGGTGCCTAAACTGAGCTCGCCTCTTCTGACTGGGCGGCAAAGGTGCCTCCCTGGCCCAACGGCCGCAAGGGCCGAGGGCCGTTTGATCCGTGTCCTTTTAATTTTTCATCAACTTGGGACATATTAGTAGCCTCTGTCCATACTAGTTCAAGCCTTAAAATATATTCTAACAGTTATTCATGGAAAGAATTTCCTGCTGTTGCTGTGCTCCATGATATTCAACAGAACTGAACACTCACCAAAGCAGGGAATTATGGCTTTGAAATACCTTCTAACTACCAATTATAGGTGAAGCCCCAAGACTGAGTTCCTTCTAACTTTCTTTGAAATTATTCCTGAAAGAAAGAAAAAAGAGGGATAGAGAAATCTATTTATTCTGGTCAGGGATATTTTTGGGCAGGAACGCACAGGAACGGAGTTCCGGCTGGCTCCCAAGTTGGCCACGCGCAGCAGGAACTCATTAGCATAATAGGCCACACCTAACAGCAGAAACTCATTAGGATTGGCTACATTAGGGGTGTGTGGCCTAACATGCAAAGGAGTTCCTGCTACAAAAAAAGGCCCTGGGTTTTGACAACAAACAAGGTCAACAGAATAACAAGCAAAAGGTGGGTGTGGCTGGATGACCACACTTCTGGTAACATGGGGGTGTGGCCTAATGTGGTAATGAGCTGTGCTGTCAGGGGTGTGGACTAATATTCTAATGAGTTCCTGCTGTTGGGTGTGGCCTATTATGCTAATGAGTTCCTGCTGGGCTTTTTCTACAAAAAGAGCCCTGATTCTGGTCCAGAAATACCTTTGATTTGCAAGATTATTTATTTGTTTGTTTGTTTTGTCATTGAGTCACAGCCAATTTATCATGATCCTGTAGGGTTTTCAAGGCAAGAGAAATTCAGAGGTGGTTTGTCATTGCCTGCTTCTGCATATCAATCTAGGTATTCCTTGGCGGCCTCTTATCCAAATATTGATCATGGCTGACTCTGCTTGGCTTCTGAGATCTGATGAGATTGAGGTAGTCTGGCCTATCCGGATTGGGCCAGATTATTTTATTATTATTTTTTACTGGATTCTGTTTCCTGCCCAGATATAATCCAATGGGACAAAGTTTGAGTCTGTAGTGCCTTTAAGACCAACAAAGTTTTATTCAAGGTATAAGTTTTCATGTGCAAGCACACTTCTTAGGATACAGTGAAACAGAATTTCCTCAATTATTACATATAGGAAGAAAGAGGGTGGGGGGTTATAGTTGCCAGGAAGGGCCAATTAGAGTCAAGCCAGAGACAGAAACAAAAATAGAATATCTGTTTCTGTCTTGACTCTAATCGGTCCTTCCTGGCAAGTATAACCACCACCACCACCGTATGGAATGGTTGAAGAAATTCTCTTTCACTGTATCTGAAGAAATGTGCTTGCACACAAAAGCTTATACCTTGAATACAACTTTGTTGGTCTTAAAGGTGCCTCTGGACTCAAACTTTGTCCTGCTGCTTCAGACCAATATGGCTACTCACCTGAAATAATCCAAAGGGGTCAAATTATTTTTGCACCCCTCCTGATAGATCTGTTTATCAGATCAATGCACCAGTATAAGCCATTCATGAGCCCTGCCATTTATGCCATTGCTCAGGAAAAGCCTTCCCCTCCCCTGAGGAAACAGCTTCCCTTGATCACAATAAAGGCTCGAGCCTGCCACACAAACACAAGTGAAAGATGTATTCAGCCATAGGCATAATCTTCGTGGGGGCGGCGGGGCGTCAGCCCCCGCCGAAATTTTCAGGAAGGTGCTCAGCCTCCCCCAGGAGCCACCCTTGCTCCTAGCAAAGCAATGCCTCTGGCCCAGCCCCAGCCCCCACCCCCCCGGGAAATTGGAAAGTCTACACCATTGTATTCAGCTCTCATTTGCCTTGCTATGCTGAGCCCACTAGAAGACATTCTTTTTAAAAATCTTCTATCCATTTCTATAGGGGCAGTATACAAAGCCTACCACATTCTTGAGGTGTGGGGTCAGGTCCTGATTATAAAATGTTTTCAAGAAAAAACTATTCCTGTTTCACTGGCTGTGGCATGTTACCAGAAGGTCACTGCATTGTAACAATGGATGCTAAAAATAGGCATGCTGAGCAGTCTATCAAGTGAATGATGAGAACTAATATTTCACATCTTTGTGGTTCAGACCCCAAACAATGACATTCCAGACCTGAATATTTGCTAAGAAGAAGAAATACCAAAGTGCACACTATGACACCAAACCTGATAATTGGTGCCAAAACAAGAATGAGAAAGAAACAGAAAAATGAATCCATTGTAGCGGTTGCCATCTGTATGATCACAATAAACCTCAGGAAAAGAAAAATGAAGCCTGACACTGTGTGTTATGAGCACTGGTTCCCTTCAGGGGCCTATTAGCATGTCTATATATCAACCTTACACATAAGTAGGAAATTTATTTCAAAGGTATCACAAGGTATAATGACCATTATATAGTAGCTAAAAGGAAGTACCAATTCTCCTCTCAAGTAAAATGCAGCAAGTAATATATAGCTATAAAGCTAGATCTACTTCCAGGTTTGTGAATGACCCTTGCAAGTATCTTGCAGCTAATCTTATTCTCATGTTGCATATGCTTTTTGTGTAAGATCTCAGGGACTCTAAATTGCAAAGCTGTGTTAATGTGATTTACCAGAGAAAGGTGGACTATAATGGACATAAATAAATTATATCTAATTAGCACCTTGAATAAATATATACCAACATAAGATAATAACAAGTTTTATACCAAGGGTTTTCAAAATATTACATTCAGTTTGATGTATCCTATTGTTGGGTGCAAAAAGACAGCAAAGGTGACTTCAAAAGGCAACTATTCTCTATATGCACCCAGAGGACATAATAGGGCTGCCAGGTCTCCTGCTATGGCTCTGAGCAGCAGTGGGAGAAAAGTAAAAAGAAAAAAGAAAGACAAGAAAATAACATCAGCAGCATTGCCATGTTACTTCTGGGAAAAACCCAGAAGTGATATAGAAAGAAGAGAAGACTGGATTTATATCCCACCCTTCACTACCTGAAGGAGAGTGGTTTACAATCTCCTTTTCCTTCCCCTCCCCACAACAGACACTCTGTGAGGTAGGTGAGGCTGAGAGAGCTCTCTTGAGAACTGCCCTGAGAGAACAGCTCTGAAAGAACTTATGACTGACCCATGGTCACACCAGCAGCTGTATGTGGAGTGGGGAATCAAGCCTGGTTCTCCCAGATGAGAGTCCGCCCTCTTAAACACTACACCAAACTGGCTCTCACTGGGAAACTCTTTGGTTTTACCACTGAGTTCCAGAGATTCCTAGAGCTACCCTACATCACTTCCAGGTTATCCTGGGAAGTGATATAGCAACACCAGCCATGTTATTCCCCCCCCCCATCTCCACTCCAACCCTTCTGCTGGTTGACAGGTTCAGCCTGACAACCCTAGGACATAATAAATCCATTAAAGTCATTGTGTCAAGAAGGGTTTAACTCTGTTTAAAATGATGCTATGAGGCATAGCAGGCATTCTGGAGAAAACCACCATACTGATCCGAATTTTTTAAAGCCTTGTTTTAATATTTGTTATATCACATAGTTATTTATTGTTTTTATAGTGCTGTTACCCACTTTGGGACACAGGGGAGAAAGGTAGGCATACACATATTTTTATTTAATTAATTACCGTAGTTAGCATGTGAGGTAAACCATGCCATAAGTTCTTGGGCTGTTTCTCCCTTGTTTATGGTCAATTGGTGAAAAATAACTTCTTAAAGCCACACATAGCAGCTGCATTTTCTAATTGATCTGGGAATCATCTAAAACATTCTATCAGGAATTTTCATAATATGGAATGGTATTTATCAAGATTTACAGAACAATGGAGTAGCGTGGTTAGCTTGCTGAGAAATAGTAAAAACAAATTGATATTATAAGAGGAACACAACCCCCCCCCCAGCTAATTTTCAATCAAAATGCCACCCTACAAATAGGTAACACTGATAACTGCCTGTTTGCTCACATTTTCTGTGATAGCCACTGCATGATGTGGTCAGGAAGCCCCCTCCCCCCACTCCTGTTGTTTCACAGAATGTGGAAACCCTGAGAGCATTTCTATAAAGGATTAAAATGGTAG